TCTCCATTCAGATATGAGAAAGCAGCAGCAACTGAACATATATCTGTAAAGGAGGATAATGCATGTTCCTGAACCTGTAGTAGAATGACAGCCTACAAGAGAATTTCCCACCTTCCAACTCTAGACACAAAGAATGGCACCTTTCTGAGAGCAACAATAATAAGACATCTGGACCATAGGCAACCATTTAGTTATGTTACACAGAAAACAAAACCTGATATAGTTTTGTTAAATATATAATACAGCTGATCAAACTGACAGCTTCAAGGTGGAAATGGATTTGATATTGTATAATAAATATCTTAAGTAAGTAAATTATGCAAAGAAAGCAACAGAAAAGAAAAACCAATGGGAAACAACAAGCACCTGTCTGTATAACTCTGTCTACAATAATAAATAGGGTTAGAGAGATGGCTCAGCCTTAAGTGTACTTGTTGATCTTCAAAGGATCTGGGCTCATTCCCGGCACCTCCATGGCAGCTAACAACTGTCTGTAGCTCCTGTCCAAGAAAATCCAACATCTTCTTCTGCTCTTTGTGAACACTGAACACACACTGTATACAGACACACAGGAAGACAAAACTCCCATAGACATAAAATTAATAAATTAAAAAAAATACTATAGTCATCAACAAAACCTGTGTAGATGGGGTCATATGTAGCCCTAGCTAGTCTCAGATTTATCATGTCACTAAGTAATGGAAGTGAGCCGTGGTTATCTGACAGCTACCTTTGAGGTACAAGGATTAGTGGCATGCAGCAGCACACCCAGCCTATATTTACGAGATACAAAGAGGCGTGGATACAGTTTTTATTTGTTCTTACAGGTAATGAGTTATACTATTGACACAGCCCTGGCCACTCCTTCCTGGACTGACATCGCAGAGGATGGTCCGTTTCTACTGTCCTAACAAAGTATTTGATGTGTAAGAATTAAAACCGAGAAGTCAAATGAAATTTCTGAATTGGCTTGAAATAGAAAATTCCATTCTTTTTTGAGCTCCAGTATCAGAAACAGAGTTGACAATGTTAAGTATTCTTTGGGAAAGCACTCTTTCTGGAGTAATAGAGCTTCAAGAGTGATTTTCTGGGATAGAAATTCCCTTTACATATATACTTTCCCCCCAAATACGAATAATTAAAATATTTCACTAAGCTGAATTTTTTACTTACAAACTCATGAAAAATATAATATCAGAACTAGCCACAAACTTTTAGGAATTAAGAATGTACAATAAGAATATTTATAACTAGAAGAAAAACATAAGTTCTGGAAAACAATTTTGACCTGTATTTGGAGGTTAGATTCCCATATGCTGCTCAATTATCATTAGTAAAGGCAAACTGTACACCCAGTTTATAAGGTAAAAAGAACCAACCCATGAAATTACTTTATAATATAAAACTTTATTTAAATCACCAGCTGTGTAGGTTGCACTAGGTGAGCTAGTCGAGGCAATGATGGAGAGCTCACCCAGACAGTAACTATGAGGGAAAGCTGGCCGGCTGACCAACCAGTTACAACCCAGACCCAGAACCAGGGCTATGAGCTGGTCCACCCCAATATCCATGAACTGTTGGAGCATGTGAAGGGGGCGAACTTACAGATCCAAAACAGAAGGATCTCCCCGAAACAGGACAATAACAGGATACAAAGACAAGCCCCAGTGAGAGCCCATTAGTGATACTGCAGCAGAAATCAGAGGCCTCCAGCCAGACTGGAGACATGTGACAATGAACCCTGGCAAGTAAAGATGAGTGAACTAAAGGACCACACTACAGATTCCATGATAAAATTCTTTTTGTTGTTTTTTGTTTTTATTCTGTTTGCTTCTTTGTTTTGTTTAGATTTTCTTTTGAGTTTTTTTGTGGAAGGGGATTGAGGGGGGTTACATTGTAAGGGCAGAGGGTAGATGCAAGTGGACAGGGAGGTAGGTGGGATCAGAACGCATCACGTGGCATCTACAAAGAATAAACGTTAAAAAAATAAAAAAGAAACTTTTACCTATAAAAAAATAAATCACCAGCTGTAGCATCTTTCCAAATTAGTAGCTTATATGAATACTTGTATTAAGTGCATAAGTGTGAAAAAAACCTGATACCATGGAAACAAGAATCTTCATAAATTCTAAAATGTAATTTGATATGCAATTTTTCATAAAAATAATATGATCTGATTTTCTTACACATAGGGTTTCTCTGTGTAGCCCTGGATGTTTTGGAACTCACTCTGTAGACCAGGCTAAACTTGAACTCAGAAACCCAACCTGCCTTTGCTGGGATTAAAGGTGCGTACCATTACACCCAGTTTTTTAACCTGATTCTTAATCTAATATCCATTATTACTGTTATTAGTTTATTAGTAAAAACTAGAGGGTTTTAAATTCCTTTGTGAAAATTTTAGAAACATACAAGTACTAAACAAATTTGTGGCTTCAATAATGCAAAAAATATTAGACTAAGTATTGTATTTTAAAAACTGCTATTTGTGGCTTCTCATGTATCTTTAAAAACAGCTCAGTTGTACAGGGAATGCACAGAAATGTCCATACTTGAGCTTTTATGCTACAATTACTACTTACAAAAAAATTCAGATTTTGTTTCTCAAAATAATCTGACTATAACTTAGAAAAGTTATCCCATTAAGAGAGAAGAGAAGCACAGAAATATCCTTCAACAACAACAAAAACCAACGCTATACTGTTGCTTGAATTAGAGAGTGAACTTGGGTCAACCAGTGTTAACGGCATATACTTTTATAATTTCAAGGAAACAGGCCCATTAGCTCAAACAGTGGCTTACAGGGCTCTAATGAACTGGTACAACATACCCAGACTTCGGCAAGCCAAAAGATCTCTCTTTGCCTTTGTTTCTTCTACTTAATCGAGATATTTTGATAATAAACCTAAGCAAAAAACTCTCTGGCAGGGAAACACTATATAGATTTTTTATTATGTTAATAGTTTCTATATTCCAATCATAATTCTCAGCTGATGCTAAAATGTTCCCTCTGACTTTAGTTTTTACTTTAAAATAATATTTTTTTATCATCTGTCTTTAACATATTTGGCACTCTAACAAGATCTTTTTCCATAACTTTGAAAAATGCATGAATAATAAATAGCACAACATTTTCATTTTTAGCATTACCAAAATCTTACAATACAAAGCTATACAGAAATTTTTCACAATACACAACAAAACATCCGCATTACTTTCAATTTCTAAAGAAATGCAATTCAAACCTTATGTACTTATCAACTACTCACCAGTAAAGCTTGACCACTGACCATCAAAGATTATAAAAAATCATATTACTTTTCAAAATTGTAAAAAAATAATTATAATGATATATTTCTGTTGTTCCCCACCCCCACCCCCTGCCCCCCTGCTTGGAGCTGAAGACAAAACCCAGGGCCTTAAGCACTCTATCATTGAGCTAATCCTCAACCCACCACACTCCACTTTTTTTTTCCCCAAGACAGGGTTTCTCTGTATAACAACAGCTCTGGCTGTCCTGGAAATCACTTTGTAGACCAGTTGGCCTTAAATTTACAGATATCCACCAGTCTCTGTCTCCCTGAGTGCTGGGATTAAGGGTGTGTGCGAACACTGCCAGCTTCTATAATAACAAAATTAAAAAAAAATCTAGGATACATTTTGAAAACTCAAGACTATTTCTAAAATATTGGAAATAGGTAATGATTAATACATTAATAGTACAGCCATCAGCAATGTGTTCCTCTTTGACTCAGTGGGTAACATTGCTCACTGCCAAGCCTGACAACCTAAGTTCCATCCCCAGAACCCATCTGATGGAAGGAAAGAACCAATTCCTGAGAGGAGTCCTCTAGCCATGACATGTGTACATGGCAGGCACACACACATACACACATAAGTGTAATTTAAAAAAGAACCTAATCACAACATATATCTAAATATATACATCTAAAAAAAGTATGTATCCTCACTAACAAGAATAGAAATATATTTAGAAGTACCCACAAGACATAGAAATTTAATTTTAAATGAATATATTTTGTTTTTAAAAGTACCCACAAGACATAGAAATTTAATTTTAAATGAATATATTTTGTTTTTATACATTCTTTTGTTTCTTTATAATCATTTTACAATTGCTTAGCTGTATAGCCTATGAGGACCTCACCTTTTCCTTTACCATACACATTTACCAGCAGTATTAGCAATCACCATACACAATGTTTAAGAAAGATGTTCATTTCAAAAATAAGAATAGCCCAGTGAGATCAAATATTAATAGCAAATGGTCATTACACAAAAATATAAGCACAGGAGAGGACTGAGATTACCATTCCCCAAACTGAAACAATTACGCATATTTATGCTCCACCGCCATGCAAGCAATGGAATATTTACAAATGTTTTATGCTATAACCACCTTAAGTCCATGTGATTATAATATGAACAAATGAATGAAATGAAGGAATATCTGAGTGAATGAATATTGAAGTCAAGATGACACAAAACCATGAGATGGTCACAATGTGAAATACAAAGAGATGACTTGAATACAAATAAACTAGTTGAAATCAAACCTGGTTCACTGTAAAGACGCAGGACTTTCTATCTGTAGAACAAAGAACCTCAACCCAAAGCACACACAACTACTAAAATAGTCAAATCCAGTTAGCCAGCCTTAAAATGCAACATTTTTTACTCTGTAACCCCCTCTCTCACACACATACACATAAAAAAAAAAAAAAACACCCTATTTTCTTGTGTTTGGCACTGGGGAATCAATGAATCAGAGCAAAATACACATTTTTAAAAAGACCAATTTGCTCATATTCCATTTAAGAGCAACAAACAACCACTTAAAAACTTAGCCTTTTAAACAGCATCCTTATATAAAGTGGGGTGTGGGGGGGAGCCCTTCCATACATAGGAAGCAGTTTAAACCAACACAACTGGCCAATCAAAATTAGTGAATGCACTGCATCTCTCTGCAGTGGGGAGAAGCGACAAGGTAGGCTGTCACTCTGCAAAAGCTGCTCAGAGCAGACTCTCCTCTGAAAAGCAGCGTTCCTTTTCAGAAAGACTGGCTCAAAGGCTGCCTGGAGACAAGAAGCCTTCAGTATGCGGAATTACTTTCATTACGTATTTTCAGATGCCTATTGACTCCACAGGAGGAAGAGTGAGGGACTGCAGCCGAGAAGCCGTATGTTGCCGGTTCTATACATTAGCGGACTGCTGAAACAATGGCACAGGACACACATTCCCATTAAGGTCATTCTGGAGAGGTTTTGATGACCCTCTTCCCTGAGCCCTCTACTAACAAATGAACAAAATGAAACAATCAAAACTGGAAATGCTTCAGCTACAACAAGAAGTGGTCAAATCTTTAGCAGAGGTAAGATGTGTTCTTTATATAGTGGACAGCTGCTTTTGAAGCAGCAGAATGGGGTAAAATTACTTTGGAATTTTTAGCCTAAATTTTTAAGTTTGCTTGTTTTCCTATACTTATTGGTAAACAGGAAATTTTTTAATTTACTTCTATTAAGATGTGATGTATTTTAAATGTAATTTTTATGGTGTACTGTTAAATCAAAAACTATTCTGATGTCTATAATTTACTCCAAAGACATTAGCTCTTAAGTCATTTTGGATATACCAAATATTTATAATGTCACTAGTATACCATTTCTCAAGTGCTAAAAAAAGGTTTATATTTCTTATAAAAAGCTAGCTTACTAATTAGCTGTTTTATGTTAAGACTGTGATCAGGCATGTTCATTGAAAATTATTAATTTGCACTTAAGATTTTTTTACTACTGTTTACATTTCACCCACATGAGCATATCATAAAAGAGATTTATAGTGTCTTATCGCAGAATCTGTTTTAATGAGTTAAAAGTTCAAGCCATGTGCTAATAACTAAGCAAGCTGCAATATTTCCCAGCATGCAGGACATGTTAAATTTATTACCGGGGGTAATGGCAGTCTGTTTAGTAAATACTAACTGTTCATAATCTCTAAATATTCAACTTAGCTTCTAAAAGAGAAGAAAAATAGTTTAAGATTTCAGTCTTTCTCATGACCATATTTTAATGCTCACTCTGCTGCTAAATAGGGTAATATATGCCATCTTTATTATGAAAAAGAAATTTTAAGAAACTTCATTTTATGACTATAGCTATGCCTACTGCAATACACTTTGCTTATTTTGAGAACAAATTCTAGATGGTTTTAGTTTTTTAATTAAAGTAACTTGTACTTAATTCAAAATTATTAGGAATCCTATTTCTTATTCTTTTTCACCTTTTTCACAAGGGCCCACAACTAATTCCATATGTACAACTGACGATATGAAGAACGCCACTACCTGAGCAGCTCTATAGCTCTCTGAACCACAAACTGCTAGATATTCTTTTAACACAGGACTTTTAAGGAACTAAGGAGTTAACGCTTCGGATTAGCTCGGCTGGAACGTAACAAGCTGACAGCATCCCGTGAAGATGCTACACAGAATAACCACGAAAAGGGGGGAAAAAATAGAATTGTAAAAGCCTAAAGACCACGGGAAAATGTTTTAAAAGGAAAGATCTAGCACTTTAACACAGCAGAATTATGGACACTATTGGATTCTGCAGGAACCCGTGAAGCAAAACCTTCAAAGGGAAAACAGCACGACATATCAGTAAGCAAACGAAGCTTTAGCAAGTGTTTTCTGTACTATCCAGATATTCACAGCAATTGATTTAACTAATAGAGTTTTCCATCTGAGCTTTATGACCAATTATGTATCCTCTTCTAATGAGAACAAACCAAATTAAATAGCAGATGGTTTTTATCAAAAGAGCATGTACTGGATTTATAATATAAAGCAAATTATGTGATCAAGAAATCATTTTGAAATAATGAGAACTGCTGCAGAAACAGACTGCAAACAAATGGATATCTAAATGCATTTTAGAAGCTAGAGACATTATGTTTCCTTTTCTGTCTTCACATACTCTGGAAAACAAAGAGACACAACCTATATTCTTTCAAAAAGGAAGTGTAATTTCTATCATTTGATGAAGTTTCGTTTGTCCATGACTTTCTGAGGAGGAAAAAAAAAACCACGAAAATTGTGTGCTGTTCTTTAGAAATCCATCAGCCAACTAAATCTCACAATTTGTACAGCTGAAGTACTCAAATAACAAAAGAATGAATTCCTGCAAGACATGAAATAAAACACACTGTTATCAGGGAAAAAATTCATGTCAAAATTGTCACTGACATCATGTATCAATTTGTGGAAAACTACCATGGTGAGCCAAAAGGCCCATAAGGCAGCAGGAAACAGGTAGGTCAGAAGATGCATGCACGCCCATGGGAGGAAATAAATTGGTTTCTTTCAGTGCTCGTACTTGTCATTCTGCTTTATTAATTATAAGTGTGATGTGACAAAACAAAGACCTGGTGTTCAGTCTGTCAGTTCAGAAAACTTGGCGCTCTTAACATTTTCCATTTTTATAGGATTTCAGTAAGCTAATCCATTTTATATGGATAAATATGTGTCTAGTAATACCCTTTATGGCTCAAATGAAATTAATGTTGTCATGTTTCTGAAATAGTGCCCTAAAATAACAAGCCTAAAGTTGTCAAAGGTAACATCAATTAAAATGTCATTATGAATTTTGAAAGTTATTAGGTTTTATACTTCAGGTTGGAATATTTTGCAGTTTAATTGCTATACCTGAGATGTGAAATATACTTGCATGTATAAATTCATGTTTTAAGCTGAATTTTAACTTTAAGCTGTTCAGTGTAGACCTCTCAGAAAAAATCAGATACAATTTTTATAAATGACTCTAAACTCCCAAAATACTTATTTGAATGAATGTTCACTTCAGAATTTTTCTTCAAAATTACTCACTGTCTGATGTGAACCAAATGTCTCGCAGGTAAAGTGAAAGTTAAAAGCTTCCTCAAAAAATGGATGTCAGAATATTCTTTGGAATTTCAATTTTTACCTCACAAATTAAACAAAATATTACATTAATAAAACCATTTCAAAATCATCTACTTCTTACTATGTATCAAATTTCAACTTCCTCTTTCTACAGCACACCAGAGGGTGTGGTCGCAAAACACATCAGCCACAGGAAAGCTTTTTACTAAGCTTGTTGCTTTTTCCAATTTCTTAAAGTCTACTGTAAAAATGTAGTGGGCATATTTACATGATGTACAAAATTCCCATCGGTTGCCTCTTTGAGAAATGACCTCAGTGTCCACCCTGGAGTGGGCAAGACAGCGTGCGATGGGGACAAACTGGTGCGTGTGCCACTATTCTTACTTTAAATCTGAGGAGCAGCTGCACCCACAGTCACCGTGCTAGAGCACATGGAAATAGCATTTACCTTCCATCCACTCACAGCACTGTTTAAGTGAAATCTTAAACCATTCGACCAAAATTACTTTTTCACACTAAGTAGTGCTCTTATTCAGACGCATAATTTCTTTAAAAATAAAACCTTAGTTATTTCCAATGAAGTAAACCCTTGTAGTATGAATAGTAATTCTGCACTACAGAGAAATGATCCCCATATGGTTATTTCTTCAAAAAGAGAAAACACCAAAATCAATGCAGGCTTGATGTTTCCCAATTCTACATTTTGCATCAATAGCTTACAAAATTAAAAATTAAACTAAGTACATAATAAAAAGATATTTTTGTTTACAAAGAATACCACGTCTTATATGTCACATAAATTGCCAAATATCAAATATTCTATTTTGTTTTTCAGGGGAAACACCAACTGTTCCAAAAGAATGTGTTTTTCTCCTGTTCTGGGAATCAACATGCAGTCTGAATCAAACATTACAGTGCGAGATGACATTGAGGACATCGACGCCAATATGTACCAACCACTATCATACCCATTAAGCTTTCAAGTTTCTCTCACTGGATTTCTCATGTTAGAAATTGTGCTGGGACTTGGCAGCAACCTTACTGTATTGGTACTTTACTGCATGAAATCCAACTTAATCAACTCAGTCAGTAACATTATCACAATGAATCTCCATGTACTTGATGTAATAATCTGTGTGGGATGTATTCCTCTAACTATAGTGATCCTTCTGCTCTCACTGGAGAGTAACACTGCTCTCATCTGCTGTTTCCATGAAGCCTGTGTTTCCTTTGCAAGTGTTTCGACAGCAATCAACGTTTTTGCTATCACTCTGGACAGATACGACATCTCTGTAAAACCTGCAAACAGAATTCTGACAATGGGCAGAGCTGTAATGCTAATGACATCCATTTGGATTTTTTCTTTCTTCTCATTCCTGATTCCCTTCATTGAAGTAAATTTTTTCAGTCTTCAAAGTGGAAACGCATGGGAAAACAAGACACTGCTGTGTGTCAGCACAAGTGAGTACTACACTGAGCTGGGGATGTATTATCACCTTCTGGTTCAGATCCCCATCTTCTTCTTCACAGTTGTAGTGATGCTCATCACATACACCAAGATACTTCAGGCTCTGAACATCCGGATAGGCACCAGATTCTCAACAGGGCAGAAGAAGAAAGTTCGGAAGAAAAAGACAATCTCTCTAACCACACACGAGACCACAGACATGTCACAGAGCAGTGGTGGGAGAAACGTGGTTTTTGGTGTGAGAACTTCAGTCTCTGTCATAATCGCCCTCCGGCGCGCTGTGAAGCGCCACCGGGAACGACGAGAACGGCAGAAAAGAGTCTTCAAGATGTCTTTATTGATTATTTCTACATTTCTTCTCTGTTGGACACCAATTTCTGTTTTAAATACCACAATTTTATGTTTAGGCCCAAGTGACCTTTTAGTAAAATTAAGATTGTGTTTTCTAGTCATGGCTTATGGAACCACTATATTCCACCCTCTCTTGTATGCATTCACCAGACAAAAATTTCAAAAGGTCTTAAAAAGCAAAATGAAAAAACGAGTTGTTTCCATAGTTGAAGCTGATCCCATGCCTAACAATGCTGTAATACACAACTCATGGATAGATCCTAAGAGAAATAAAAAGGTTACCTATGAGGACAGTGAAATAAGGGAGAAATGTTTGGTACCTCAGGTTGTCACAGACTAGGGAGAAGTCTAAGCTTCACCAAATCTACATTCAGAAGAGTTTTAAATTTAAATTGTAAAAACTGATTACTGCCAAATGTAAGAGAAAAACATTCTCAGTATTGGTTATGTTGTAAATTTTCAATGTGAATGTCAATTAGATTAGGTCATATATACTCAATTTCTTCATTATTTAATGTATTTGTTGCATGGCAGTTTGTTAAAAGTAATATCATGTGTATATTGTCAATATTATGTCCATCAGAAGATACTCATGTAAGTCATATTTTCTAAAGAATAAATACATAGCCTTAAAACAGTGTATAACTTTAAAATGTAACTGACACAGGTATCTACATTTTTAAATGTATGAAACCTATTATTTCTAAGCCACAACCTAGATATATTTATATGAGAAGTTGCATAAAATTTAACACAAAAATTATAGTCTCAGAACAATCAAGGGAAGATTTTCGGTACCACTATGTTATATTTCTGTTATGATAAACTTGTTATTATATTTTAACAAAAATAATGAACTATATATAAACCTTATTCTTTCTTATATATAACACTTACGTGGGCAACCATAGACTATATTAGTATTTTAAAACCATGAACCAATTAATAAATCAATTCTGTATATGCACACAAAATTAGGGAAATTTTTCTAGTTCAAGCTTATTACATAAAAAGATTGAATTCTATTACAAGGATGATATGCCTGTAATACAAATGAACCAACAATAAAGGGAGGGAAGAAAGCTACATTAACACCAGCCTTGTTCCTTCACCCTCATTTTGCCTGATTCTACACCAAATATTCTAGGTTATGAGGAAATACTGGTTTTAAAAACTGCAATAAAATAATTTTTAATTTAATAACAACTCTACCATTTTTGTATAACAGAAATTAACCACGTAATAGGGAAGACTGAGCAGAGGAAAGAGAGGCTCCTTTCTGTCAACTGTAGAAAAGCCTAACAAAGGCAGCTGTTTCTAATTTTAGATTCATTGCAACTTATGTGTGGTAGAATTTCTACAATGTTCCTTCCTAGTCACCTGTGGTAGAATTTATACATTGTTCCTTCTTAGCCTTCAAACTACAGCAGCTCTGTTTCCACTCTCCAGGTGATTAAAGCAACAATAAACTGTGTCACATTTCTATTCCACCACCATGTCACTTGAGCATTTTTCTCTCAAACCCTCAATACATGTTAGAAAATGATTACTAATTGTAATTATAGATTGTAAGGAATATGAATAATTTTGTAACAAACAAGAATTTATTACTTGCTATAATAATCTGGCAATCTGTAGTAATAATAAAGACTTAGCAACAATTTATTTAAAATAGGTAAAATACCTACTATATATATTACAACCAGTTAGTTTAACAAGAATTATTCTATATTTTAAATACTATATTCAATAAATGAAGTAAAATCATTTTTAAATTTAAAATCTCATGTTAAACAATTCATTATCTATCATTTTTATACAAATAAATGAGATTCATTTAATCAACTTTAATGACTAGCCTAATCCCTAGGAAAAAGAGCATGCTACAGGAGCTTGAAGTCACTAAGGTTTCTGGCAAGCTAAACTGATTTATTTCTGATAATAATGCTAGCGTGTCAAAACTTGGCAAAGACCTGCTTTCCTACTGCTTTACGAAATTAAAGAAATACTGCAGTTTGACAAAATGTAACATAATCGATTAATTTTTTAAACCCTAAAATTAAGACTTAATGGTGTTAAGAAATTTTTCACTCAATAAATGCATTTGGCTTACAATATCTAACACCTTAACTAAAACTTTTAATGCATTTTGTACTTGAACTTCCAAGCATGACTTAAAATATTAGCACCTAGATTTACAATCTTAATTTTAAAAACTAGACTACTTTTAGTGTTCATGTTAAGAAATACCTTCACTGTGTTTTCAGTACTTTTAATCATAAGGTTTAATAAGCATTACAAAGAATTTAGTATAAAAGTAAGTTTCTGCCATGTTGGCCTAATAGTTTCATGCATTCTGATTTCTGTACTAAAAAAAAATAAATAGCAATCATTATAACTTTGCCCTGTAAGCTGCTATTTGTGCACTGAGCATCAGAGTAAACTATTAGGCATTTTGCCCTACTGTAACGAATTCTTGTAGGATAAAAGTGTACACCTATTGATTTATAACAAGCAAAATCTACACTTCCCATACCTCACAGAAACCTCAAGTAGCTTTTTAATGTGTTAAACATACAGTGTGTAAAAACTTTGTTTTAAAAAAAAAAGAAAGAAAGAAAGCAACTGTTGATCTTGTGGTAAATGAGAGCTTAGACGATCTTAAGTTTTCCTTGATTTTTCATTCCTCTATGGACAAACAGAAGCATTGTTTTCCTCACGATGTCTTTTGCTTCAATGTGCAAATTCTTTACGCTTCACTAGTAATTTTACTCCAAAAAGCATCCTTGCTAACTTTTCCTCTATTGAAAATACAATAGAGGCATGAGTTAATTTGTATAGACAGCATCTTATAATTTTATTTTTATAACTATGTGCTTTCAATCTATGCTGTCGGGCAGAGATGCTACCTTCTATATTCAGTCAAGTTAACTATTCAAAGCATAAGGTTCATAAAATTCAGAAATTTGTATTGCCTTTCTTGTTCTATTGACAATTTAGTAAATTTATTACTTGACCAAAAAGATATTCAAACTTATTATAGAGATTAACTTTTTTTACAATTATGCTTTTTAAAAGACTCTATTCTATACTTGACAACAATGTCAGTCATATTAATGTAAGTTTTTCATCTCAAAAAGAGCTACAGCAAAACATCAGTTCTCCAGGTTAAAACTGTGGCTTCCCCAGTCAGTCAGGTGCTCCAATGGAAAAGCAATCGCCACACAAGTGTGACAACCCTAGTTTGACTCCTGACCCACAAAGTGGTCCTCTGACCTCCAAACATACTGGTCTTTGAACATGTATGTACACACACTCTAAATAAAAATATTTTGTAGTCAGACTCAGGAATAAACAATCTAAAATTTAAGAAAACAATTACTAGAATTTTATTACACACAGAATCTGAGGCTATATTTCAGGGTGAAGGTATACATCAAGCACTGCTTATCAGAAATGCTTGGTATGGAGGATTTCAGATCGCTGTAGGTATTTTGGAATACCTGTATATATTTTATGGCATAACTTGCAGATGGGCCCAATTCTAATTAAGAGTTTCATCTATTTCATAAACACATAATCTAAAGGTAATTTTATGCCATATTTTTAATGTGTCTGCATCTGAACTGAAACCATCACATTAGGTAAAGTGTAGAATGTTCCTCCTGTATCTTGTTCAAAAGGTTTCAGATTTAAGAATATTTGGATTTTAAGATGAAAGATGCTTGAGATATCTTAAAAAGTGTAAAAGTACCTGAAAGAGGAGGCAGGTTGCAAAAGGTGATAAAAGAAGAATATTTTAAGAGACCAAAAGAGAAAACAATTATACAGAATTAAATAATAGCATAATAAAAGTACCACTGATGAAAACTACTACAGCATATTCCAGAAAAAAAGAAAATTGTTGTTTGGAAGGAAAGCTGTTTGGGAAGTTATCTTGGGGCCATTATACAAGGTCTGAAACGCCAGCAGAAACACAGGAGCAAGGGAACAACAAGAAAAGGACGAGCCTCCAAAATCACCAACAACAGAGTTAGAGTATAACATGCATAGAACGGGCTGAGGAGGGCTCAAAGAACAGGACAGCATTGCCGTTGCCCTGATACTAGAGAGGGTCTGGCCAAAATGATTGCAGTAGCCCAGCAAAGGGCAAACAGCTGGGACAGGCAGTTACAGCTACTTACAGCCACAATCAACAGGACACATGAGCAACCATGAAAAACAGATTACCTTCCATAAAGGAGATATTTAATTACACACTGTTCAAAGTACATCAACAACAAGGGCCAAATGGCAAGAATCTGGGGGTAGAAAATTCAATAAAGCAAAATGAATATTCCTCATGAATGTTTTTATTACCAGAAAATATTTAGACTGATGGATTTTTTTTTGGAGTTTTTTGTTTTATTTTGTTTTCTTGGTTTTGGCTTTTGAGACAGAGTTACACTAACCCTGGCTGGTCTGGAACTAACTACACCAACCTGAATGGTTTCAAACTCAGAGACATCTGCCTTTGCCTTCCAAGTGCTGGGATTCAAGGCATGAACCACCATACGTAGCATCTAAGATAAAATTTTAAGACTGATTTTTCTAAATCATCTACTTTATATACCTTAGTTAATCCATTGCATCTTCCCACTAAAGCATCTTTTTGAATAGTTTCATTTATGGGGAATTAAAGAGCCCTGGTTTACAAGACCTGAGCTCCCGCACCACTTAAAATGAAGTGTGATGGCACCAGCCTGGTCAGGAGGGTCAGAGGTTACTAGGGTCATCCGTGGCTACACAGTGTGAAATGCCGAGCTTAGGGCTAACCTGGTTACATGAAACCATTTCTCAAAAGAGAAACCACATATAATAGAAAACAAAAATATCGTCCTTTGCTTTTTTATCCCAATAATTCATAGTAAGCATCTATTCAACTCACTATATTCACATCTTCATTCTTTGCTAATGGCTGCATAGGTTTTTGTTGTTGTTTGGTTTGGGTTTGTTTTTTTTTTTAAGATAGGGTCTCACTATGTAGTTCTGGTTGTCTTGGTACTCACTCTGTAGACCAAGCTGGCCTAGAACTCAGCATCTAACTCCCAAGTGCTGAGATGAAAGGCATATGTCACTACTTCTGGCTCATAAATATAACATTTTAAATTAAGATTTTTAAAATATAGCAATATTAAGAAATATTGACAAAGTATAAAATAATTAAATCTTTTTTTATAGACTCAAATAGCTTCGAGCTATATTTCAAGATCACCTTGGAAAACTGCAAAAAAGGTTTCTATTTCTTAACTTGGTATCAGAAGCAAATGTTTTTTCTGACTAGAACAACTTTTCTTCCTTTCCTAAAATTAAATGTGAAATAAGTAAACAAAGCAAATCTTTGGAGAGTAATTTCTTTACAGCTCAGTTTTACTTGCATGTGTTCTTGAATGCAGACTGCTTCGGAGACATACATATTGAATCCAAAGAAGTGATGTGTGAGCTAAGTTGTAATAAAATGACATCTAGTACTAACATAAGAGAGAAAAATAAGGAAACACAGCTAGTCAAGGGCTGGAGGCACGCAGCTCAGTGGCTAAGAGGACTTGCTGCTCCTCCAGAGGACTTTAGTTCCATTCCTACCACCCACATCTGGAGGCTCACAACCTCCTGTAACCCCAGCTCCAAGGAACAGAACACACTCTTCTGGCTTCTGCAAGCTCATGCACACGTGTGGCATTCAGACACACATACACAAGAATAAAAGTAATAAAAACACATCTTTTTTTTTACAGACTTAAAGTACTTAAGGGTACTCAGCTTCTAGAAAAATACAAATAGAACTGTGAGTTAGAGCTAACAAAAAAAATTAATTTGAAAACTGAACTTTCTCTAAAAATTATTCAAACAATGAAAGATATGCCAACTGACTGGCTGAATATATTTGAAATATAGACATTGTACCATTAAAGTATAAAATCTATTAAAATACTAAAATAAATTTGCACATATATGAAAAGAATGGTATCATGGTCAGAAATGCAACAGTGGCCTTATTACTAATATAAAGGCTGTGTGATCTCTTAAGAAAAATTCATTTTTACACCTGAGTAGAGCTGAGGAAATTCAATGAAAATATTTCTCACCATCCTCATTACTTATAAAACAAAAAGTGACGATAACCCTAAGTGTCTCTACCCTTCTGTCACACGGTTTTCTCAACCCCAATGAGATGACCCGGGATTTCAAGCATGACAGTCTTGCATGTCACCAGCAGGTGGTAAAAGGGGCTGTCATTCATGTCACTGCTGCTGATATTAGCTCTTCCACTATCAAACCCTGAAGGATCACTAAGATAAAAGTGAGCTGAGTCTGTCTGGGAGAAAGGTCATATTCCTCTCCCTGCTTCCATGAAAGCAATGCTTCATGTTCTCCTGAGAGACGTTAGCAAGGCAGACTACAAAACATATCTGCCAAGTTTTCAAAATGAAAAGAAAAAGTGGCACAAGACAGAATAATATCATGAAGAAATTACTTTCCCTTTAGAGAGTTATAAACATATAATACTTAGAGTAGGTGGAAAATTTTAATTCAATATAAAAATTTTGTGTTAATGCTAAGAAAATAAGAACTCTGACCACACTAAAAATAGACTGGGAATGCGGAAAAAATACAAATACATTAGTCCTTTATATTACTCATGATTCCATGATACATCCTATATAAGAGTAACTTTTATTGGTATACAAAATATATGCTAACTGGATAGAGAAGACTATTTGTATTATTTATGCCATAGGGCCAGCTAACATAACAGAATTAGCCAGGCATGATGGGGCACATTTTCAATCTCAGTAGTCAGACAACAGAGACAGGCAGATTACTGTAAGTTTAGGTCCTCCTGGTCTACACATAGTTCCAAACCAGCCAGTTTTGTGTAGTGAGATCATGCCTCCAAATAAAACAAAAAAGAAAGAAAGAAGCCAGGTGTTGGTGCCGCACGCTTTTATTCCCAGGACTCAGTAGGCAGAGGCAGGCAGATCTCTGCAAGTTCAAGGCTAGCCTGGTCTACAAAATGAGTTCCAATATAAACTTATGACAACTGTATAAAGCTTTCATAACTATATATACTACAATAAATTGATTATAAAAATGAAAACTTTTATATTGTCTTCCCCCAAAAAGTACTTAACACACACTGACTCATCAGAAAATAGTAGAGAAAGTGAACAGTTTTTCAGTTTCTGATCTTACTCCTGTATCCTAATGATTAAAACAGTGTTACTCAAAATGTAGTCAACCTATATAAGAATCCTCTTCAAAGCTGGTTTAAAACGCCTATTCCTCCTGGGCCAGCAAGACAGCTCTGTGGGTAAAGGGACTTGCCACCAAGCCTGAAGACCCAAGATCAAACAAACCCAGGACCCACGTAGTAAGAGAGGACCGACCTTCACAAGTTGTCCTCTGACCTCTCTACAGGCGTGCATGACACACACGCACACATGCACGCGCACACACACACACAAATATAATAAAAAAAATGTCAACTTTGGGGCCCTTTTGACTTTCTCAATCAAAATCTCTAGGATTTTAGCCATGGAAAGTTCATTTTAAATAACTACTTTCAAATGTTCTGACTGCTCAAGTTTCAGAACAGCTGACTTAAAACCATCCAGAGCTCAGGGTGGAAGTCTGAGCACTGCAGAGGCTGGGGCACAATTGTCACTGACTCAGGGGCTGCAGTCTCAGTCTGAGCAACACAACAACAAAACAAAAACCTTCTCAGAGAAGGGAGGAGAAGGGAACCACTAATTTCATTATCAGAAGACTAAAGTTTCAGGGCATTCAGTTTCTAATAAATGAAAAGTTACAGATGTGGTACAGCTCACACTGAATTCAATTCATATCAAACTACTTCTTGAAGAAAAAAATAAACTTATTAATATTAACTACTTAACCATACATACCATAATCAATCTACCAAGACGTTAGCTTCCTAAAGACATAATTTTTTTTATAAATAAAACATTTCCATTAAAAACCATACATTCAGATAAAACCAGACTCGCTGAACATAGCGGACAATGAGGACTACTGAGAACCCAAGAACAATGGCAGTGGGTTTTTGATCCTACTGCACGTACTGGCTTTGTGGGAGCCTAGGCAGTTTGGATGCTAACCTTACTAGAGCTGGAGGTGGGGGTTCCTTGGACTTCCCACTGGGCAGGGAACCCTGATAGCTCTATGGGCTGACAAGGGAGGGGAACTTGATTGGGGGAGGGGAAGGGAAATGGGAGGAGGTGGCGGGGAAGAGACAGAAATATTTAATAAATAAACGGAAAAAAAAAGCTAAAAAAAACCCCACACATTCATTAGACATGATAGTATAGGTTTTCATCCCAGTTGGAAGGGCTGAGTTGAAGAAAGATAACATGTTCAAGGCTGTTGCCTATCAGTGTGTGGAGGGGTGTGTGGTGCACATGTGTATTGAGACTATAAAATGGTACCACTATGAAACAGGACATAAGCTACTACACTATTCAATAATATAAACCACTCAGCCAAAATAGCTAAATATAAAAATCTCATGACCACTGTTTGTCATCAATTTATGTTATTCTGGCCATAAAATGCTATTCTTGAATATCTCTACTCTTTTCAACACAAAACTATTAAAATATACTGAACATAGAGAATAAGAATTACCTCTGGAAAAGCAAAATAAGTACCTCTGCAAGTGGGGGTTGAGGGGGTTGGGAATGGCTGGAGCGATGGCTCTTCAGAAAGAGCACTGGCTGTTCCTGCAGTGGACTCAGATTTGGTTGCAAGCACCCGCATGGTAATTCACAAGCACCTATAACTCCAATTCAGGGAAATCCAACACCCTCTTCTGGCCTCTGTGACTACTAGATACAAATACATATGTTGTGCAAACAACCATACACAATATAAGAGACTTTTTTTAAAAAAATTACTCAAATACAACAACCACAAAACAAAAATCAGTCTCCATGTTTGTAAAATCATGGCCAAACTGACTTAATTCAAGAATCAATTGTATCCAGGCTGTGGTGGTACATGCCTTCAATCCCAACACTAGGGAAGCAGAGGCAGGCAGATCTCTGAGTTCAAGGCCAGCCTGGTCTACAAAAGCTAGTTCCAGGACAACCAGGGCTGTTACACAGAGAAACCCTGACTTTAAAAGAAGGAAGAGGAGGAGGAGGAGGAGGAGGAGGAGGAGGAAGAGGAGGAAGAGGAAGGGAGGGAGAGAGAAAGGAAGGAGACGGAGGAAAAAGGAGAAAGAAGAAGGAGGAAGGAGAGGAGGAAGGAGGAGAAGGAAGAAGAAGGAGGAGGAAGGAGGAGGAGACAACAGAAGCTCTTACCTGACTTAGACCATATCCTTCCTCCTCTTCCGTTACCTCCCAACCTTCAAGCCTTTATTATTTAAGAGGAATAGATAGACTGACTGGCCTTAAGAAATACCACCCAGCCGGGCGGCGGTGGCGCACACCTTTAATCCCAACACTCGGGAGGCAGAGGCAGGTGGATCTCTGTGAGTTCGAGGCCAGCCTGGTCTACAAGAGCTAGTTCCAGGACAGGAACCAAAAGCTCCAGAGAAACCCTATCTCGAAAAATCAAAAAAAAAAAAAAAAAGAAAAGAAAGAAAGAAAAGGAAAAAAGAAATACCACCCAGAAATCTTCCCTTTCAAAATTCAAAAACAAATTACCGGGAAAGATACTGTTTAATATGAACCACGTAGTGCAAAAACACCTGAGCCTAGAGAGCTAACATTCCAGAATGTATTCTACACTCACACTGAGTTGACTGCAAGAAAATGACAAGCAAAAGAATTCAACTTTCATTATTAACTAACTTGAAGAATCTACTTGCCTAAAACGTAAGATTCTCATTGAGACATCTGTACACTGAGACTGAGTGGTAGAGTATATGCAATCAGAGCAAAAATGGAAAAGAAGGGGAGGGGGCAAGGGCAAGGGGAGGGCATGCATATTTGATGAAAAGCAGAAATCAATCCTATCCTACTTGGGTTGGAGAAATCAAACCTAAGAAATATTTTGAAATATTAAACAAACCTTAAACATGACCTCTAACCAAGAAATTTAGTTTCTAAAATTTACCCTAAGAAAACAATGTGACAGGTCTTCAAGGATGGTCATCAAAATAAAGGTAATAACAAAAAAATATAAGTAATCAAAATAGGTAACAATAGTAAACTATAAAATTATTGGATAGTTTACAAGATCATTTAGCTAACTCAGTCCATGTTCTGTTGTTATAACAGAATCTCTAGAAAGAAGT